GAACCAATTAGCCGATCGCCCACTCAGGGTGGGTGGTGGATGACCACCCCGATTTAGGATCTTGAAGGAAACAGATGACAGAGGTGTCATTAAGCGCTTTATGGATATTTATGTGACGCTTTTTCACTGCCATTTGGAAACTCCTCACGCAGGAGTCAAGGAAACTCCAATCCGCCTTAAACTTCACTGCGGAGAAACAGAATTTTGCGAAAAAGCAGCCACCAAGGACATCCTTTAAATGCAAGTACACCCAGACATAGGAGAAAGAAGGGGGAAAAGTAGGAGGATAGGAAGAAAGGAAAGAAGGAAGGGCACGTTCTTCCTCAAAAATTTCAGTGATGTGTGTTTAGCCTCTGATTTACACTCTCTCCTCCCTCCTACTGTTTTCCTTACTTCTGTTGTATTGTGTGGAAGGGGCACTTTGGAGTCCTAGTTAACCGTGAGTCTGAGTACTTCCTTCACTGTTCTTTGGCCTCGCCCTCACCAAGAGAGAGAAGCTTGCTGGTCTAGTTATATCCATGCCTTGGTTTGGTTTTGCCTCATGGCTAGTGGGATGGATGGGTCGGGAGGCACCCCTAGTGTGAGATCTTGCCCGGAAGCCAGGATTTACCCCATCTGTAAGAAAAGGTTCCAAGTTCTCCGCTTTCTCCTCTCCCCACCCCACGGCCTCTCTCAATTGAATCACTTGTTCCTTAGGGTTGTGCAGTGGCTCCAGCTGCCTTCCACTCTTGGCCCCTGGGGCTTATACCTCCCCCAGCCCGGAAATGGTGAGGCCCACCACCAGTCCTTGGGGGGAGCTGAGCAAGAAGGGGAGTTCTGAGTTACTAGTCCCCTAGCAGCTTAAAATAACAACTATAGCAGCCAGCACCTTTGCTTAAAATTCTGAGGTACCTGCCAATGTTTGCCATTATTCGCCTAAAGTTTAAGAAGTTAAGAGCCTCTCGGTTCTCAAGCCTCTTATTCGCAGCAGAGTGAACTAAGGGGTTGGGTCTAAAATGCTCAAAGGAGCAAGTAATTATGAGTCTTTATTGACACTACAAGTGGCCCGCCGGGAGCCTTTGGAGTTTATTGATGTCTAGGCAAATCCCGCTAGCATCTCTATCACACTGACTTCTCAACTAGCAGAAACTGCAAGAATAAAACAGCTTCTTATTTAAGTTAAAAGGGAATTGGGGCAGAGAGGGAGTGGGCAGTGCATGGTTAGGATTCTATAGGTTAAATTAATTAAGTTCTTTAGGTTAACATTTGGTTTCTAAACAGTAAACAAATATGTTTTGGACTCAAAACTCTTGCTGATGGGAATGGAGTAATATGCATCACTTAATAAAATTTGTCCAACATATTTTGGATCAATTAATATGGTCCAGGAAATCTGTGAGGACGTGGGGACACAGTTGAATAGAATATAGCATCTAAGGAGGGAGGGAATTCATTCACTCAGAGGAGGTCAGATTGTAAAAGAATTAAGTTGCCATGTGGCACCATGGACTAATGCCAGCATTTTAAGTATCTCCTATCTGGGTAAGCTGCAGGGGAGCAGCAGATGGAGTGGTTGGGACTGGATGGAGTTGTTGGGAGCAAGGAAAGTGAGCTTCCTGGAAGAGGGCACACATAAAGTGGGGTTTGCACATCTACCAGGGCAAGCCAGGCAGAGGGAGGATACAACACTGCAAACAAAGCAAGATTTTGTGCACTTCAGAGAATAAAATGCCAGTACTTTGGGGAACTTTGAAGTAGTTCAGTACTGTTAGAACACGGAGTGGGAAAGGAGAATAGTGACATAAGGTTTTATTGTGATCGTAATATTCTATAGCTTCATATTATCAAACTGTCTTCTCTAATAGGGAAGTTGCAACAAGAATATCTTCAAGAGGAAAGTGGGTTTAATTTATGTGTTATGCCTCAAGTTAAATTAGGGGAAACTGTTCGTTTGGCCCAAACAAAACAAAGTAAACCCACCGAGAGTGAAACAAAAGAACACAAAGAACTAGTTACTGGAACACATAAGAAAATGTAAACATTGAGAGGAGGAAAAAAAAAGAACTCTCCAGTTGTATAATGCTGCTATTTCTGTATTCATTAAGCATAACACCTTTTATATTGAGGTGAACACTTCTGAATGACTGATAATAGTTTTAGTGACACTCAAGAGATTCCTCTTTCCCATAGTTGAACAATTTTGGTTTTAGAGTGTAATTTAGTGTCATTTGTTTAATATGATTAGATTTATGAAATATACATCCATAACAATTTACCAGGTTAAAAAAAAAAAAACACATAGGCCAACACTTAGGCCAAACTGAGGATAGTCTGATTCTTCTCAATATGCTATTAGGTACAAGAACCATAAACATAAATATTGAGTAAGAAGTCTTATCCACATAAGAGTCTTTTGGACTCAACTCCTTCCATTAGCATGCCCCATTTGATGATCCTGAGACATTAAAGATGTTTCTAAATTTCCCTTCTATCTTTGGACTGTAAGTTCTTCAATGAAGAGAACACATTTGTCTTTATTCAGCACAATTCTGCAATTACACAGCACCTGATGAATAAATAATGCAAGTAATGGCAGCTGGTTTTAAAATGCTACTTTATCCTTTAACTTAATGTGAATCATGTTTTAATTGCTGGCTGTGCCCTCTGCTTTAGCTGGAAAGAAATGGGTAAATACATGCAGTATCATAGTATAATAGCCTATGGCATGCTTCAATCAGATATTTTTTAGAGTAGTTTTAGGTTTACAACACTGTTGACCAGAAAGTACAGAGACTTCTCATATGCCCTCCCCTCCAAATATGCACAACTTCCTCCACTATTAACGTCCCACACCAGAGCAGTACATTTGTTAAAATCAATGAAACTACACTGACATCATTGTCATCCAGACTCCATAGTTTACATTAGAGTTCACTCTTGGTCTTGTACGTTCCACGGGCTTTTACCGATGTATTATGTATAATGACCTGTATCCACCATTATAGTATCATACAGTTTTCACTGCCCTAAAGATCCTCTGTGCCCTGGCTATTCATGCCTGCTCCCCCAGCCCCAGGCAACCACTGATTTTTACTGTGTACATAGTTTTGCCTTTTCTACAAGTCATATAGTTGGAATTATACAGAAAGCCCTTTCATATTGGTTTCATTCACTTAATGATATTCTTTAAAGATTCCTTCATATTTTTTTCATGGCTTGAAAGGTTTTTTTGTTTTTGTTTTTGTTTTTGTTTTTTAACAGTAAAATTCCATTGTTTGGGTATATCACAGTTTATTTACTTAAATACCTGCTGGAGGACATGTCGGTTGTTTCCAAGTTTGTGAAATCATGAATAAAGTTGCTATAAACATCCATGTGCAGTTTGGGTAAATACCAAAGAGTACAGTTGCTGATAAGATAGATGGTAAGACTATGGTTCACTTTATAAGAAACTTGTTCTTAGTGCTGAATTGTCTTCCAAGTGGCTGTACTATCTTCCATCCCACCAGCAAGGAATGAGAGTTTGTGTTTTTGTGTTGCTCAACATCTTTGCCAGCATTTAGTATTTTCAGGTTTTTTGTTTGTCTGTTTTTTTTTTTGTTTGTTTGTTTTTTTGTTTTTTTTGTTTTTTTTTTTTTTTTTGGATTTGGGGCATCCTAATAGGTATATAGTGGTATCTCATTATTGTTTTAATTTGTATTTTCTTGATGAGGTATGATGTGAAACATCTTTTCATATGTCCATTTGCCATCTGTATATATTCTTTGGTGAGATGTCTGTTCAGATCTTTTGTCCATTTTAAAATTGGGTTGTTCTTACTGCTTAATTTAAAAGTTCTTTGTATATTTTGGATAACTGTCCTTTATCACATATTTTTTTGCAAATATTTTCTTCCACTTCATGGCTTGTTTCTCATTATCTCAACAGTGTCTTTCATAGAGAGGAAATTTTAAATTTTTATTAAGTCCATTTTATCGATGATTTCCTACATTGATCTAAAAAGTCTTCATCAGACTCAAGGTCATCTAGA